AAGACGCCAAGCCTTCAATCACCCCCACAGATGATGGAGGCCAACCTCCGGCCCTCTCCCTGCAGCCCCATCCTCCCAGGAGGCCACTGGGAAGAACAGGCTTCTCTCACCTGGAGCCTCCCTGGGGTTACGTGCTTGTGCAGCCCCACGCTCTGGGCACGGATGAGAGTCCAGCACAAACGGAGGAGCCTGCTCCAGCCTGACTGGCCAGAAGGCCCAGCTGCCTGAGAACTGAGAAACAGCATCTTTTCGCTTCCCTCTTCTAGGGTTTCTTCACGTTAAACTCTGCCCCCATTTCCAGGCCATCAGGCAGGAGAGAAGGAGGAGCCATCTGATACCTGCCCCTGGTTCACGCCCGGCAAGCTGGCCCAGACATGGCCATGGGCTGGGGACCTGCTGGGGACCTGCTGGGGACCTGGTGGAGCAGTCCACCCTTCGACGGGCTGGCTTACCTGGCCCAGGGGCTCTGGGACAGACCAGGTCCCTGTCTGGGCTGCCAACAAGGCACAGCCCATTCTTCCCTCTGCTGCCCGGGGAGGTACCAGCAGCAGGTGGAGCCTTCCCAGGACATGGTCACAGGACAATCCCAGCCCGAGGGTGGCTCTGCCCATCGCTCCGTGAGCACAGAGAAACTTGGGCTGGGTTGGCAGTGCCCCTCAGCAGGGACACAGGAAAGGTCCTGGCTTTGGTGAGCTGAGCCCCACCCCCGAGGTCCTGGCCTCCCTGCGCCGGCCTTGCCTCCGGATGGAAGTCAACGCAGCATCCATGAAGCACCAGCAGAGGCTGGGAGTATCGTGGACACACAGGCAAGAGCTGTGATGCTGTGAGAGGACTGGGGTCAGGAGGGGACCTTTCCGGAGAACCATGGCACTGAGCTGACGCTCGGCGCAGGGGAGACGGCCCACGGCTTGTCTAGACCTCTCAGGAAGTGCCTTGTGGAGCCCTGAACGGGCAGGTGGCTGTGGGAGTAGTTCACCCCGGGGCACACGAAGCCCACAGCTGGCCGGACTGTGGTGCCACTCAGACACCCTCGGAGGGATCCATCACTTCTCGCTCACGCGCTCACTCCCCACCCTTTCTAACTGCTGGGTTCACGTGTCTGCTGACTCCTTCCTTCCCAATCCTGACACTTCCTGAGAGGACACTGCAGGCCCTGCCCTCCCTGGACCCACCGCTGCTTTCCAGAGCTCCGTCCATCCGCCAGGCCCCCTGGCAGCCACTTGAGGCCCCTGGCCTGCAGCCCACTGAGAGGGCCCTGCCTCCCACCTGGGGAAGGTCTGCATCCCCGCTGACAGCCGCTCCCGGGAATCGGCAAGGCTCCCCCCAACCCCCATGACTTTGGTGGCCAGAGGCGGCTGTGGTGCTGTCCCCCTCACGGGACTTCCTGGAGACCAGATTCAAGCAGGGGAAGCGTCTGCCGTTTTCTGGGCACAAGCTGCTCTGGGCAAGCGTCCGTTTTTCTCCTGCTCTAAGGAGAAAGTCAGGCTGCAACCCCCAGCTATTTTCTGCCCTGAGTGAATGGAACTGCGGACAGGACCCATGATTTGTAGGATCTGAATCCTCCTCCGACTACACCCACAGGGTGGTCAGTACTCTCTCCAGCACAGAGCGAGGTTCCCATTCCTGCCGACACCTCGAGACCTCGACACCTCGAGACCTCGACACCTCAAGACTGTCGTGCGAGGAGTCACTGCACGGGGTTTGGTGGGCGTGGCTCCACTGTCACACAATCACCCCTTCTCTCTTGCCCATGCCACGTGAGCAAGAGAATGCCAGGACAGTGACGTGAAGGACGGCGTGTGCACGCTGAAGGCGTCCCCAAGCCAAGGGGACACAGCCTGCCACGCTCTCGCAGGACCCAGCCCCAGTGCTTGGAAAGCCAGCATTCAGCCAGGGAAGCGTTTGGGCATCAGTGGGCATGGCCACCTGCCAGTGTAGGGGTCTCCCTTCCTCCTGGAGCCTGGTTTCCAGCAGCAGTGACCAGACCGCGTCGGTGTTTGGCAGATGCACCAGCCCCTCAGGCCAAGCTGGGATGCCCAGCCTTCCTCTCTAGCAGGAAGAGTGGTTCAGATGATCTCAACAGGAGCACACAGTTCTCCCCAACAACATGGAAAACTCCATTTACTGCAGGAGGAATACTGCGGACTGGGGGAAGGCCGGGGGGGGGGGGGGCTGCCTTTCCTTTACAGTCCTGACACACTACCCTGCTTGCCAGCAGCCAGCTCACCCACTGGTGGCGCTCCCCCCTGCCTAGAAGACAGGCAGGCAGGCAGGCGGGGCAGGCAGTCCACGGCACTACCAACTGTCCTGGCAGAACCCCTTCTCCACACCTTGTCAAAGCTGGTCCAATCAGATCTCAGCAGCCAAAACCGGCTGCCTCCACACATGGCGGCCCTTCTGCTGTCATTTCTATAGCGAAGCACATCCTCTCCGTTCACCTACGTTTAACTCAGAGACACCGGGGGCTGAGCAGAGCTGCAGCGGGACACGGGTGGTCCCTGTGGTTCCAGGCGGCTCCGGGGGAAACCCAGGAGGCATTCCTTTTGTGTGGTGAGCGAAGAGCACGCTGAAGGCCTCGGGGCCACGAAGGAACTGTCACTGGCCGAGGACAGCACCCTCCACCCCCTCCCCAGGTGCAACCTGGACTCAAGATGCAGGAAGACCACTCCTCCTGTATCACATAGGATGTGGTAGAAGGAGATCGTCAGAAGGAAATGGAGAAAACGGAGGAGTTTTTCCTGCCACAAAAAGCTCAGGCTAAATCGTAATTTCTTCTCCCACATTTTTTCTAGTCCCTGAAGAAATATCTAAATGTTTGCTTTTGTCCAAAGATAGTAAGTAAGTACCCTAGAATTGCTTCAGGATAATATTTAGCTATAGTTTTTCATTAGCTCCCTTTCTAAAACCTCTAACATTACAGCTTTTAGTCTTCATATGACAGGTATCGGAGCAATCGTTATTAAAATCAGAGTTTCCAAAGGAGTGGGGCTTCTCTGGCAAAAATCCATACACGTAACAGGGCCATCTAGGCCCAGCCACTGCAACGGGAGGGACGTGAAGTGTAGCAGCCACTTGGGGGGGTTTGGGGATTTTAACCTAAAGAAACTGTTGCCTTTTCTGGTTATTTATAGCTACCCACATAGCCACAGCATATAAATTCACATTATTAATGTGTTTCTTTTCCTTTGGGGGAATTTTACAGGATAAAAAAGACTCGGGTGGGGCCCTTAAATAAATCAGCTGTATCTAAATCTTTCATATCTATCTATCTATCATCTATCTATCTCTCTCTCTCCCATAAGAATGTAATCACTGAGAATGAAAATGTGTATAATTGTTCCTGGACCTCAGCACCCAAGACAGAAGGGTAGAATGAATTCTCTCAGGGACCCTAAAGATGAACACCCAGCACAGCCTTAAACAGGAGCACTCAGGAGCTGCGGGGAGTTTCAAAGCAGCCCTCCCAGCGCCAGACAGATGGACCCCAACTTATTTCTCTCCCCTCCACCCACCATTTACACAGGCCACAGAGGCCTCCCAGGCAGAACTGAAACTATGAAGGCTGTCTTGTTTGAGCTCCCCTTTTATGTGGACAGGCCTTCTACCATCTGCAAGACGCTTTGTGGCAAAATCAGGGCCTGGGGGATAGACTTCCGCCTCTGCTCCCCACGCCAAGGCCTGAACCTCCCGAAGGGGCCACAGCAGCCCCCCTGCAAATGCCCCAGGACAGAGCCAGGACGGCGTGGACCTTCCTCCTGCTCTGAACCACCGGGTTTCGGGGAGTTGGATGCTCACAAAAGCACCTTTGTGTGGCTTCACTTCCCGTTACTATCACACTGCCAAAAACTACAGCAACAACACAGTGACAGCGTGTAAAAGCCGACACAGGCATGATAGCTAAGCACAAGCACATGTCCCCACTCTGAGTAAGCGTGGTGGAGGGGCTGCGCCTGCCCCCAGAATCCTCTGCAGGAGCCCGCCCAGGGTGGCCCTGCCTCTTTCAAGCATTAAGTGCCTCCTCGCAGATCCCTAGGAAAACCTCCTGGCAGGTTTCTAGGAAAAGCCATGGCTTCCTCCCGCCCCCATTCCCAGACACTGCACTAGCCTCCCCCTGGGAGCCCCCCAAGGCACGGCCACCACCCCTGGCTGCCCAGCTCAGGAGCTGCAGATGCACCTCACCCCTTCCATGTCAGATCAGACTTGCCGTTTAAAACCTCCCCTATTTCACTCCCCCTCCCAAAGAAGAATATCCTTTCTGCTTTCTAGATCATTCCCAATAGGAACTGGTTTTCCTTTCTGCTTTCTAGATCATTCCCAATAGGAACTGGTTTTTAAAGAGAGAGAGAGGGCGCTGGCCTTGGCAGGGGTCTAGGAGGATCCACCATGTGCTCTGACAAACGCTCCTGGTCAAAACGGAGGGGACACCTTCCATCTTAAAAGTCAAAGAAAAGAGACAAGGCCTTTGCAGCTGCTCCTTCCCAGAATGGCTGGCCTCGGTGTGCCCCAGACCTTCAGAAAGGACCCTGCGGACCCTGGGCCCCACACCCCCAGAACCGGCCACCCAGCCAGAAACATAAAGGGGTGAGATAAAACTGAAGCAGGTACCCCGTTAGTTCACCCATTCGGGAGCCGGCAAATCCCTAGCCCGTTCCTACCTGATTTCGTGTCTGTTACTGTAACATTCACACAAACGCCAGCCTCTCCCCAGAGGAGGCAGCGGGTGCATCGGTAACCTGTTCGCCGAGTGCGCGTGGCTGGGACATCCCTAGCGCGGTCATCTCCACCCGGGCTTTCCGGTGCAGTCACGGTAAATGGGTGCGTGAGTAAACGAGCTGTGGGTGTGCGTGTGGACCTGCGCGTTCTCTCCTCCGTGCGGGCGCGGGGCCAGAGTCCGACCGACCGGCACCCGCCCTCGGCGCCAGGCCCAGCCCTCGGCTGCTCTTCAGCAGGGGGTCCTCGGCGGCGCGGCTGCCCCCTCCCCGCCCGGCCCGCCCCGCCAGCTACCTGCAGCCGCACGCCTCCACCACCATGTCCTCGTATTGCTTGTAGACCACGTTGTTGGCGGCGTCGATGTAGAGGATGCTGATGGGGCTGAGGCGCGCGGGCACGCAGCAGGAGGCCGGCGCCGCGTCGGGCGCCATGGAGTTGAGCAGCGTCTGGATGATGGCGTGGTGGGTGGGCTCGAGGTGCGAGCGCAGCGGGAAGTCGCTCCACTGGCCTCGCAGTGGTACGCTTGGTAGTCCAGCGGCGCGATGATCCAGT